AAATTTAGTGCTGTTTGGCTATATATGCAGTTGAAGTTAAATTTGCTTTACATAACGCAAATTCTCAAAATTTTATGAAAACTATCTAATTCATTGGTTTTACACTTGCAGGTACCGAAGTAATTTTTTCCCACGGCCTTTCAACACATTTCGATTATGGTGTTGTAAAAATCTCAACATATCAGTTATTTGAAGTCCAAGTTTACATTATTTTCTTTCCATTAAAAACAAACATGAATAACGCACCAGAAAATTTATAAACATAGCTAATTAATTTACAACGTGATGTAAATCTTATTCAAAGATCTAAAGATGCGCTTTTATTAACTTTTACTGGTATTTTTTCAAATGTAAATAGTTACGAAATTGTGCACTAAGAATAATAGCTTTGTTTGAGAATACATTTATGTGAACTGCTTATTTTCGGAGTTCAAAATTAAGAAGAAAAAAATCAGTTTGGCCGATGAGCATCTACAATTCGTGCTGAAGATAATGTCCCGTAAAAATTTCTCCAAGGCTACAAATTTTATCAGAATCAAAACGCCATCAATTATTAAGCTATAGTAAGAAATAAAGAAATATGTAGTTATTTACATACAAAATAATTAAATGAAATAAATTGTAACTATCCAAGCAATTTTGAGGTTAAAAAATTTATGATTTGTAAAAATAAACTAAAAAATGTTTTATTAGCCCAAAGGGGCATTAGTGACAAAACGGAATTTTGCTTCGTTTCACTTTCTCCATTGATTCACATTTCAAACTGTTGCAATTAGATATTATCGCCATGTATTAAATTTAAAGAAAGTAAATAATGAAGAATCTGCATGAATGTATGAATGATTTTCGCACTGTGAAAAAAAAGGTACCTAGAGCCATCAAATTCTGAATAACGTAATTCTCCAACCGAACATGGGCACTTGGAAGCCCGAATTTTGAATTTCTAGTTTGTTTTATTATCTATTTCAAATTTTGTAAAACGTTAACGAATTTTGATTAAGAAACTCAACGATTTTAAAGCTAGCCGTGCACTTGTATATGCGATTTACTTTAGGCGGGAAAAAAGAGAACATTTTTATCTCTAGCGCGCGAGACTATGTATTGGAAATTCTAAAGATATGCTCTTTTAAATATTTTGTGATGTTGCACTTAAACTAAAAGGATGTTGGATGAAGATTGTCCACACCCAGAATTTGGCGACTAGGTCCCCTAAAACCCTATTCGTCCTTTAAAAAGGGAAGTATATACGGTTATTCTCCCGCTTTCCTAGCGTGCCTTCGTAGTGTAGTGGTTCTGCACATTGGGCCGGTATTCCAGAGGTCCGTGGTTTGATTCCCGACGAAGGCGATTGCTAATTTTTCATCTCGTCTGCTTTCAAAAAAAAAAAAAAAAAAAAAAAAAAATCCTAATGTCTCTACAAGGTAATACACAAAATGGTAAAAAAAAAAAAAAAAAAAAAAAAAAAAAAAAAAAAAAAACCCTCTGTGGGGGTGTAATACAAAATTTGAAACCTTTCAGATTTAATCAAAAAAACTCATCCCAAAACTAACTGAAAAAAATTTTACTTAAAAAGTAATAATAAACAAATAAATGAGGTAACTGATTAATTAATTTCAAATTAATATGTTATTTACATATAAATATAATTTTTTTAATTCAGGCGTCAACAAAAATTCAATAGATAAGAGAAAGAGACTAAGTTGTTATTATTTATTCTCAAGTTTTGCCCCATTTGACAAATTTTCTCTGAAAACTTCGAAAATTTTTGTAACACTTTGTTTTTTGTTTAAATTACTGTAAGCTACTCAGTGACTAATTAAACAAGTTAGAATTATTTGAAAGAAATGTTATTCTAGGAATTTAATATTTATCTGTCAGTATATTTGAATTACAAAGTGTAGCCAACAAAAATGTCTTGCAGGTACTAAACTTAAGATTTCAGACAGAAAGTAAATATAACAGTGGCTTTCAAATGTGATCAGACACTTCGAATTTTTCTAATTTTCAATGAACATAAAAACTGAAATAAATTAAAATAAAACAAAGGCTTTTATTTTGATTTTATATAAATTCAACAATTCTTTAACAGTAAATAGATTTTCGAAAAGATGAAGATTAAATTCAAAAATCAATATCGTTTGTTTAAATGGGGCAAAATATTACCTCAAAAATAATCGGAAACTTTTAGTAACAGCGAAGAATGAAAAAAAACTTATATAGTTTTTGCTTCTTAATATCTTGTGGGATTACATTTACATTTGATCACTTCATTTAACCTTCTGGGTTTTGACTCCACAAGTGTTTTTGTTATTTTTTAGACTTTTTTTATGCCACTCCTCTTGAATCACTGCTTTCAGTTGCTCCCGCGAAGATATGCTCTGTTTTCGAATTTTTGATTCCATTTCCTGCCAAATATGTTCAACAGGATTAAGATCTGGCGATTGAGAATGGTATTTTAATAACTTCTGGACACTTATATAACAGCCAGAGTCTAACATTGCGCGTAGTACGCTTTGGATCACTGTCCTGATAGAATTTAAAATTATTTTGTATATTGTGTTGAAGATGCCAACTTTCGCTTCGAGATGTCAAGGTACTTACATTGGAGAGAGGAATCCGTAATACCATCTATGAACTCTATATTACCAGCACCGGAATGTGCATAGATACCCATATCATAATTCCTCTTCCCCCGTGTTTAACAGGTGGTGGTAAGTTTTGATTCCGAAATTCTTCGTTGGGTTTTTTTCCATATCAGCATTCGTCCATCTAAGCCGATGATGCTAAATTTGCAGCCAACCAGCGGCCGAGCGGTAAAGTCGCTGAACACTGGTAGTTCGGTCCGAGGTTCGAATCCCGCGAACGGGCTGGCTGCATGGGCGTTTTCGTGGTTTTCCCCATGTGTAACGTGTATACGAGCAAGTTTCCCTTAGAAAGTCCTCCACGAAGGCATCCCTCCCCTTAGGCAGATAGCCTTCGAGGTTTTGCCATAATCACACACACACAAGATGCTAAATTTACTTTTATCAGCAAACAACACTTTTTTCCAGTAGTCGGGTGTCTTTTGTTTCATCGACTTTGCAAAAACCAGTCGAAGTTTTAGGTTTTTTTTTTTTTTTTTTTGTTGTTTTTTTTTTTTTTTTTTTTTTTACTGGCATAAAATTTTCCTCTTACTACTCGCCCATGGTATCTTGCAAATCGTATCACTCTTCTTACGGTTTCTGGATTTACACATATTCCATACAATTCGCGAAGTTCCGCAACAAGTTTAGGAAAACTCAATCATGGATTCTTTTTAATATTCCTTAGAATAAAGCGTTTCATTCTAGATAACTTGGATGGTCTTCCAAGTCTTTTGTTTTGAATACGATTCTGTTACTTATAATGCTTAATAATATCGAAAACTGTAGAATTACTTAAATTAAGTAAATAGGCAGTAATCTTAATAGATTTCTCTTTCTTTTGATGCAAATAAATGAATTATTGTGTTAAAAAAGGTACCACAAAATTATTCTGGTATCTTTTTTTTGACACTTCAGCCTAAAATGTTATTTTTTAAATTTACCATTTATTTTTTTTTAATTTATTAAACACAAAGAGAGAAATAAGAAAAATATATATTTAAAGAAAAACTATTCTTTATTATTTTATTTCAAAGCTTTTTTCCTATTACTTAAAATGTAAAAAAATATAATGGCCGGTTATTTTTGTGAGACACGGTATATTATTGGAATTTTTCCTTTGCGATATTATTATTTTTGGATTATATTTAGTAAGAGAAATTTAAAATTTATTTAAAGTATTTTTTATCTTCTTAATGAAAAAATTTTCATTTTTTTTGAAAAAAAAATTTTGCCCCATTAATTGTTTCAGATGGTGCATTAATCCCACATGTAATTTCAGTTTGAGAAACATTTCTATACACCAGCGGTTCTCAAACTTTTGACTAACGCGTCCCATCTAAAAAAAAAAAAAAAAAAAAAAAAAAAAAAATTAAAAACTTTAGTACCACTAATATATTTTACACTGATTGTTTTTCAATTTCTTAAATATTACATATATATGTTGTCATTTGCACAACCTATTGGCTTTTTGTATTAAATATGCACACATATAAAATATTAGATTAAAAATGGGTTACCATTTTAATTATCAAAATTTAAGTTAAGTTATAATACTTTAATTCTAAAATTTAGGGCGAAAATTGGGCCTGCTTAAGAGAGATCAATTTCAATATGTGTGGTCTTATTTCATTCAACTTTAATCGCAAATTAGGATCCGCTTTTAATTTTGTTCTGTATTTATTTTTCAAATAAAACGTGGAGGAAAATCCTCATTCACACAAATACGTTGTGCCAAAGGCAATAAAAATTTAATAGCCTTATTTGAAACGCTTTAAATCCATTTTTTGGGTTCAGCCAAAAGTGTATGTGTTATTTTTTAAATCTTCAATTAGTGTTCGATCATAGGAAATTTCAATCAATTGTTCTTTTTCTTCACGAGATTTTTTAAGTTAATAGTTAAAAATACTTTGCTTCGTTGAGTACCACCTACTTTTCTCTTGCGTGCTACCCAGTGGTACACGTACCACCGGTTGAAAATCGCTATACTAGACCATTCTCTTCTCCTCGATATGATACTTCACTTCTCCAAAAATGAGAGTGGATTCTTTTTTTGGAGGGGGGGGGGTCCTTGGATTTTGGAAATACAAATTTGTTTTATGCAAACATAAATATTATTACTGATTTAATGTTTAATTAAATAAACTACAGGCATTAAATAATTTTTCCATAAAGAATTAATTAATATTATTAAATTTATTACTGATTATATTTGAGCTTTTCAATATTATTTTCAAAATATATCGAAAAATAACATATATTATATACTTAGACACATATAAAAAGTTTTTGTTCCTTCATGTTCATTTCATTTTTCTAAATTTGAATTGTAGACAGAAAATATTTTATAAATGAGAAATACTATTAAGTGTCACTTACTCCAGCAGGAACATTATATCCGGAAAGAACTACATCGGTAGGAAGTATTCTTCCTGTCCCAATAGCCACAGGATTAACTCTGAAACAAAAGTGTGAGGACTGCTGCTGTTATTTTACCTTACCACAGGATTTAGAGTAAATATTTTGCAAACATTTTATAACATTAAACTTATATCACCAATTTTGAAAAGTTTCGCGGATGAGAGTTTATGCTAATAAATTACAAAATTTATTAGATATAGAGCAACAACACAAATTATTAGCATATATATTGCAAGATTTTAAAACTAAATTATTACGCTTATAAACCAATCAGATTCCAGAAATGCAATCAAAGGCGTTATACCGTAAAAAATAATCGAAGCTGACTGAGTTTCGTGCCTCTCCTCAGTTCAAAATTTAATTTCTTAAACTAGAAATACCAGAACTCTACTGAAGGCCGCGAGGTAAACTGAATAAAATAAATAAATAAAATAATAACTTTTTTTAAAAAAATTCTGAAAGGAACCCTTTCGGAACGTTTTAATAAAATCTGAATATTTTGACTGAACGTTTAAATCGAAATATCTGAACGTTTTAATAAAATCTGAAATTTTAATAAAATCTGACCCCTTTCCTAAAGGGTGTCCTAAATAGCTGTTTTAAAATTAATCATAGTTTATTAGTAGAAACTACCAAAAGAGATGGTTCAGATGGAATAGCAAAATGTTTTATAACATTAGATGAATACATGTTTAGACTAACATGGGAATGTTATTTATCTTGTGTATATTTGAAAAGTGAAAAAAAATCTGTAACGTCTTTTCATAATAATTTTATATACTTTTAATTGGATATATCTTGAATTAAATGTATTTTTATTTAAATCAATCAGATTAAAAAATGAAAAAGAATATTCTTAAGAACTGCTTTTAAAGTGATCAACAATTCGGTTAATATGACGAAAACATCTTAGAACGAATTTTTTAAATTGTCGTAAAGTCGCCAAATAAGTTCAAAATTGAATACAAAAATTGCAAGTGATAGAGAAATGTCGTCAAGTAAAGGATTAAGTCACGAAACAGTTTGGTTCGAATTGGTTCAACCATTTAAAATAAGGCCAAAAAAAAAAAAAAAAAATTCTGAAATGCATCAATTTTTAATGGTATTCCAGAAGGGTTTTTTAAGGTTTATAACGCTCTAGCTTAGCTTGTAATCTGCCAGTTTTGCTGCTATTTTTTTTCCTTTTCAGCACTATTATTAAGTATCATTTTCTTCGTACTTACGCCATATACAATTCAACTGCAAAATTACAAAGATTTTAAAAGCAGCACAGCAGCATATGTTTAGAATTCCCTATTCAGAGTTAAGTGTTGGCGTACATTTCTTGCTTTTTCCAGTCTTTTGTCAGTTCATCATATTCATGTTCAGTTTTCTCAGTAAGATGGCTTAAAAACTTTTTTTTGTCTTTTTATTTTTAAGATTTTATTTGTTAACATTATTCATTAAATATCACGTTCTTCATATAAAATTCAATTCACATAAAATTCAATTCAACAGCAAAGTCACAAAATATTTAAAAACAGCATATCTTTAGAATTTCCGATACATAGGCTCCCGCATTGGAGATAAAAATGCTTTATTCCGTACAGTGTTCTCACTGATCGCTTTTAAATCGTTGAGCTTGTAAACTAAAATTTTAGAGTGTATGAGATATAAATTTCGGGCTTCCAGGTGCACATGTTCGGATAGAGGGCTACATTATTCAAAATTTGTTGCCTCTAGGTACTGCCGTTTTTCCACAATGCAAGAAACATGCCTATAATCTGAAAAGTGATACAGCCGTTTATAGTGATTCGACGCAAAATGCACGCTTCGAGTCTAAAAAACCTCCCGGGTAACGCCCCTTTGAGCTAATAAAGCAGTCATAGACTGACGTACATTTTGAATAGCTCTATCGATTTTAAAGGCGATTAGATACAGGTCCCTCTTCTTCAAGTTTTTTTCCTCCTAAAAAAATGTCCTCTGGAAACATCTGTACAAAAAAAATGTTGCATGTTTCCACAGTTTCAAACACTACATTGGCAAGCTCTCTTCCAATGAGGGACCCATTCGAACATTAACCGTTTGAAGGCCAAAATGCCCGAGACAACATTTCATTCAAACAACAACAACCGCCCGAAACGGCAGAGTTTGTAATATTGTTTTCTCCCCCCCCTAAAGTATGCAATAGCAGGTGCACTTTCCCCAAATGCATTGTAACAGGTAATTGCAGACAGCTTGTCCTAAAAGACTAATGAACGCTTCTTTGTTAGGAAGTAGAAAGGATGTCATACCTTTTGGTGCGTTAATGGATGGGAAGGGTAATAGACGGGAACGGTCGTTTCGGTATTCTAAGCATAGAGGTTAGCGCAGGCTTCGGAAATCCAAGGGTTACGGTTAGACGTACATCATCGGTCAAATAATATACAGAAACGTTATGAACACGTTCATAAGCAAATTTTTGCATTCTCCTGATTAAAATGCTGTGAAAGTATCTATTTATATATATCTAGCTATATTTGCATTAAATTAGTTAAATACCATTGCTATTTTGAGAAATATTTTTCTCATCGTTTAACGTTATTCTTTGACTAAAGATATCAAAGAAGCCATGGGCGTCTACTGTAGTTTTAATAAGCAGCATTTGTACAGTCAAAATCTCAGTTTAACATAAAATATATGCTTAAAAAATGTATAGCACACATTTAACCACATATATTCACTTATTATAAACTGGAAACAATGGTTTCTGATTAAATACATGTGAATGGATGCTCTTTGAAAATCGAAAATAAGCAAGTAATTACTCACCTTAGAGTTTCTTTAATAACGAGCTGAAGGTACCGTAATTTGGCATCACTTTCACTTATTCTACTTGATTTGCTAGGTAACCGGTCTTTAAGTTCTGCTCTTAAAGTATCTTGCACTCTTTGATTCATAGCCAGATTATAAAGACAAAATGCCATGGTATAAGCGGTCTAGAAGAAAGAAATGAATTGAAATATTTGAATAAATTAATTCAATTATATCACGAAGGAAAGATAGTGTTTCAAAGCTATAAGAAAATTTTACAGCTATACGGAAATTACGCGAAAGTTTTATCCATAATTCAAGACAGTCTATAAGGTATTCCTCCCGCTTTCCTAGGGTGCCTTCGTGGCGTAGTGGTCTGCACGCTAGGCCAGTAATCCAGAGGTCCGTGGTTCGATTTCCGGCGAAGGCGTTTGCTCATTTTTCATGTTGCCTGCTTCCAAAAAATACCTAATGACTCTACAAGTCTTTCATTACTTTTAAACATGAAAACGATGTAGAATGAAATTTGACTAAATTTGTAAGAACTAAAATTCATTCAAATCAACTACGATCACAACTCATGAGCACATGAGTCATGATGCACTCACGCCTATAATTTGTTAGATTTTCGAGGAAAGATGAAGAATATCTTTTTAAGTTTCCATCCTTCGCAAAAATATATTATGAGTTATGACTTCAAAATAAAATATAAACTATATTTTAAATGCTGTATTTTTACTCGCGTATTTCTCTCGAGCTTTCTTTTTTTAAATAATGTTAACGTACGAAAATCGAGACGGGAAAATTATGCGAATGATTTAATTTCCGAACTCGGTTACAGAAAAAGAATAATAAATGCAATGTTCTGGATAAACTACCGGTAACTATCACTATAGTGTTACGAATTTGGTATTTAAAAAGCTAATGTTAGTTCAATTATAAATTAAATGGTTTTATTTCTCGCGCTGTGCAGCGCGTGACGAATATTAAAAGATAGCTAAGCCGGAAAATTGAAAATACAAGAGCGCGTGCATTAAATAAATAAATATCTCTTTTTGATTTCGAGAAAGTACTGGAAAATTCTAGCGCGTGATTTTAAAATCTTATAAAAGGAGGAAAACATCTCAGTTTGTAGTAGTTGCTTAATTTGTTGTTGTTTAGAAAACTGCTCTTGTTGATTGTAGCGAATTCGCAGAATTCCTCCCTTTTCCTATACATATATTAAGTTTACTGCTTGAAAATCGGAAGGGGGGAATTCGACGTGTGTATACTATTTCTATAAAGAAACTGCTTAGATGAGAAACCTAATGCAATAAAAAGCACTTATAAAAACATACTAATATTATTATATCATATATTTAAAAAGATTCATTAGTTTCAATAATATATTTTTTACTTATACAAAATACTTTTCCATTTGCGCATACATTTTACACTTCTACCTTAAATCAGAAGTTTCCAAATAGTTTGGTTTTAGTTTAGCTGATTATGGCAAAGCACACTAGGAATATCTGTCTAATGGGAAGGGTGCCTTCGTGCAGAATTTTCAAGGAAAACTGGCTCATATACACGACACACATTAGAAGGTATTTCTCCCGCCTTCTTAGCATGTCTTTGTGGTGTAATGGGCAGCAAAAAACGGCGCGTATTCGAGGAGTCCGAGACTCGAGTCTCGGCGACGGCATTGCTCATTTTTCATGTCTCCTGCTTCGAAATAACTTAGTGTCTCTATAGTGGCTGGCTCCCACCAGCGGTCGAGTGGTAAAGTCGCTGAACACTGGTAGTTCGGTCCGTGGTTCGAATCCCGCGAACGGGCTGGCTGCTTGGGTGTTTTCATGGTTTTTCCCATGTGTAACGTGTATACGAGCCAGTTTCCCTTAGAAAGTCCTCCACGAAAGCATCCCTCCCCTAGTGTGCTTTGCCATAATTAAACACCACCTGTACAGTGGCACCGAAATGTGGTGGATGATGATTCTCTACTACCAGGATTTGGCGATTGGGTCTCCTAATCTCCAATGGCCCTTTAAAGTGGGGAGTATATAAGGTATTTTTCCCGCCTTCTTAGCATGCCTTCGTGGTGTAATGGCCAGCACGAGAGGTCCGAGGTTCGAGTCACGACGAGGACATGTCTCCTGCTTAGAAATAACCTAATGTTTTTACAACATGGGAAAACTCCGAAAACGCCTATGCTGCCATACCGTTTCCTTAGAATCGAGCCTCGGTCGGAACTACCGGTGTTCGGCGATATTACCGTTTAGCTGCTGGTGGGTCGTTTCTAAATGAAAACTATGGGGGGAGGATTACGTTAGGGGGAGATATAAACGAGTAAATACAGTATATGAAATGAAAATTTTGATATGTATGATGAAAACCTACGCTGTGGCTAGACAATATAGAAAAGGGGTTAAAAAACATTGGTGTCAATAGGTGGAGGACTGTGGCGTTGGATGTGTCAAGACGGCGGAAGCTGACTGAGACCACCTAGGCTGGAAATCGGCTCTGAAGCGTAAGAAGAAGATGTAAAACTGATATAGCTGATGCATAAATAACTCGGAATCACAATGCATAAAACATAGCTAAACCCTCATTTTGCACAGTCAAAGTCTTGACAGGGTCTCTTTAATACAAACAGGTCACAAATATCCATCTTCCGAAGTGACTTTATAAATTCCGCTAGAAATGTTAATACCCCACAGAGATTTTTGGCTGGACCTAGGGCCAAACGAAATGCTCCACCAAATGAGTACAAATGCTTATAATCATCTAACAGGCGGTACAGCAACTTAACCTGGTGGTAAGTAAGTAGTTCTGATGCATGAAAACATATTTGACAAGCAGCTAAATTAATACAATCTACGCATCCCGTCTTGAACAAATACATTTGTACTTTTCACATTTTTATAATTAGCTTGCAGAAAGAAAAATAAGTGATATACATTATCAGGATAGAATGCATAGATTGTAATGTGAAGGTTAGATAAGAATAATACAATCATAGTTTCACTTTATTACTATTGGTTAATAGAGCTTCGATTTCCAAACTTTAATATCGTTGGCTGAAACGTCGTGCGTCATAAGCGTTATATAAGGATCACATATGAGGGATTAATTTTGAAACAATGCAGTTGAAAAAATATACATTTTAAACATGTTGTTTTTTTAGGATAGACAGGAGAAATAACCAAACAAAATCAGAGACTTAAAATAATTATTATGAATCAAAGTTAGGAATTTATTATGCGCAATCTTTATCTCACGTACAGGGTGCCTCAACAAAAGCACCGGATTAAATATACCCAAAAAAAAAGTCGTTTATTTGTTAAAATACCCAAAAAGAGTCGTTTTTATGTTAAAATACGCTCTATTTTATAAACCAAATGTTTATAAATTAGAGCGTATTTTAACATACAGATAAATGTTTTGATTCAAGAATGCCAGGTTGGATCCGACCTGGCAACACTGGCATTTTATCTTGTCGCATCTTCGTTGCAGCTTACTCCACACAGAGCTCTTCACAACAGAGCAATGAGTTTTGATTGTGAAAATTTAATATAAGAATGGTGAAAGTTATGCACAAACTGTTAATAAGCTTCATGCAATCCATGGAGGTAATGTGCAGCTAATGAGACAACAGTTCGCAAAGTGATAAAGAAATCTTAGGATATATGTTCGACAGCAGACATTAAGTAACCACATTTTATATTTATAAAACGCCAAGAAGAAGAATGGCAAGTTTGATTCGACCTGGCAGCACTGGCACTATATCATTGTCGCATCTTTCGTTGCAGCTTAGTCGATCTAGAGCTCTTCGCTACAGAACAGTGAGTTTTGATTGTGAAAACTCAGTACAAGAATGGTGGGTGTTATGCACAAACTGTAACAAACCTTCGTGCAATCTATGACCATCATATATACAGGGTGATTATAATTAAAGTTTAAGTTTCAAAACGCTATAAAAAAAGAACCACTGATGAAAATGATGTGAAATTTGAAAGGAATGTTATTGAAAAAGGCGGAAAGCGTATGGCAGAAGAAAAAATTTAGTTTCAAAAGTTAGCAACAGATGGCGCTGTAAGCGGCAAAATCACGACGAGAAACGAGAAGCGATTCGTAAAACAATGGCTAAGGTGGAAGTTACACATTAAAATGCATTGACAAATTAGAATTGTTGAATAATTTTATTTGCATGACTGTACATATCACATCGAAAGGGACAAATCGGTTTCAAGAGTTTTGCGGCGACATACCGCATAAGAACCATTCATCAAAGAAGTTCGGAACTGTCGCGAGACTGGCACAAAACATGTTCAATATGGTGTTGTGTGCAACAAGTTGAAAGCGACAAACAGCATGTTCCACAACGGATCGCAGTGTCTCCGGGGTGATGTTCAGAATGTGTTGCGAAATGCGTGCCTTTAATTCCGCTAAATTTGCAATTGGAGCACGGAACACAGCATCCTTCAGATATCCCCACAGCCAGAAATCACACGGAGTAAGATCAGGCGATCGGGACGGCCAGGCTGTAGGGAAATGACGGCCGATAATTCGAGCATTTCCGAAATGGCGCCTCAGCAGCTGCTTCACGGGATGTGCAATGTGCGGAGGAGCGCCATCTTGCATAAAAATGATTTCATCCACACATCCACGCTGTTGCAGAGCTGGAATCACGTGGTTGCGCAAAAGAGACGCATACCTCTGACCAGTGACGGTTGCAGTAACTGGACCGGAAGCACTCTGCTCGAAAAAATGTGGTTTTAGGATGAATGATGCCGTAAAGCCACACCATACCGTGACCTTTTCAGGATGAAGTGGTACGGGGTGCGTTGCCAGTGGATTTTCTGTTGCCCATATTCGACAATTCTGGGTATTCACGTATCCTGTCAGATGGAAATGGGCTTCATCTCTCCACAAAATTTTCCACGGCCATTCATTATCCACTTCCATGCGAGCCAGGAATTCTAACGCAAACGTCTCCCCTAGCTGTCAGGTCAGGCGGAAGCAACTCCTGCACATGGCCAATTTTGTACGGATAGCATTGCAGGATGTTTCGTACAATTTTCAGCACCGTGCTCGTAGGCCTGTCCAATGTTCGGGCAATTCCTCGTGCACTGCACGGTTGCACACGACCGGCCGACCCCTCCTGTAATGCTGTGGCCACTTCTTCAACTACCGTCGAATGCACTCGTTTCCTCGTTTTCTCCCTCTACCAGATTGCACATCAAACGAACCTGTCGTTTTCGAATTTTTTGCATCATTTTCTTTAGACCTACGACACTCATTGGACGAACGCTTTCTTTTCTACCCTTCAGTGTCCTGAATTTTTGCAGAGCTACTCTTGCACAATCATCATTCTTGTAATACAGCTTTACCAGCAGAGCGCGGTCCTGCAGTGAAACACCCATGGCGAACGTCTGAGACGCGAAATGAGGAACAGCCTGGTATCTGACGGCTTTATAACACTGAAATTTAACTAACATTTTAATTTGTCTTCTTGCGCTTGCAGCGCCATCTGTTGCTAACTTTTGAAACTAAATTTTTTCTTCTGCCATACGCTTTCCGCCTTCTTCAATAACATTCCTTTCAAATTTAGCGTCATTTTCATGAGTGGTTCTTTTTCTATAGCGTTTTGAAACTTAAACTTTAATTATAATCACCCTGTATATATAAAGTGAACTTGATGAAACAACAGCTGTTGCTGTTGTCTTGTCCATGTATTTCACGGAAGAATGGTTGCCAGAGGAGGTTGGACTTCTACTTCCACCCCAATTTTGAGCGAGAGCACCCCGGAGGGGGAGATTCTAAGGGTCTCCTATCGCCCTTCCCTATCACCAAACCACATGAAAGAACTTTCGGCTCGGCGTACATTTTGAGTGCCCACATGCCGCAGAGGCACTATAAATTTACAAACATGCATGCCTTCTCCAGGATTCGAACCGAGGCAATTCGGTACTTTAGTAGGCTTCCCTAACTACTATACCGTCTGGGCAGCGACACAGTTCTCAATACAGCCGATCTGTTAAACATAGACCGGCTGTATCGAGAATTTGGTAGGCATAACAATGTTATTGCAAATCCAAAAAAAAAAAAAATGAGAATGGACAAGACAGTGTTATTGTAAATATAAAAAAATCCTAGCTTAAAGAGAAACAACCTAGAGGAAATTGATTATTCATTAGGCACTTCGATAGGCAGATATATGAAAAAGTAATTACGAATTTGATCAAGAGAGTGCAGTACTGCAGAGCAAGTTGTGATAAACATTACCCAGATATTCTTCTTCAGTCTTAAAAAGCAATCTTTATCTGTCATAAGTACGTAGAAATATTTTACATCTTCTGAAAATAGAACATTATATCGGACATATTAAATCTGACACTTTATTTGGGACACCCTATATATATACCATAAATGAATCCATCTATATGTGTTAGATTTTTTAAATATCAAACTTTAAGAGTCTCCAGAACTAAATACTTATAACATTTCTCAAGTCAAGCTTTCATAGCATTATTCCAGCTGGTTTGATATAGAGAAGTTGTCAAATGAACGGAAAGATGTTCAGCAACGCGTGAAGTATTTAATAAGAAATAAGGTAATATATCTTACGGTATCAATTCCTGCCAAGAACATATCCAGTACCATCGTGAAGACATCCTTTCGATCCGCGATTTCGAGTAACTTGGCCAGAATAGAGTTGGTATTCTTTCCGCATTTCAGGTCTAATACGGTTTCTTCAACATATTTTTCCACCACACTGGAAATTAAAGAAAATAGAAGAAAAATAATAACGATCTTGCCTTCAGAAACTATGCAGTATTTATGAAAAAATTCGAGACTTTTCTTTTCCTGTATTTATTCGAAATATTTATAGCATTACCTTGTACCTGAGTAAAATTTTGAGGTTTATTAAAAGGATTTAGATTTTCTTATTAACCTCTTCAAGGATGAATTTTTTAAGGAAATTATTTATTACTATAAACAATTTATTATTTATTATATTAATATTATATTTTATTATTGAGATTTTTAAGATTATTCAATATTATTATTATTGAGATTATTCACTATTGTTAAGTTTTTATTAATATTATCATTTTAAAAAATACTAATTTTTTGTTTGATTAGGTCTTATTCATTTCATATCGGCAATAATTTAATAAACCAGAAAAAAAACTGCAAAAAAATTACGTTTCATAAGAAAAACTTTTGTTTAAAACTCATAAAACAATATTAATGAACTAAAATAAGAAAAATATTTTATCATGCAGTTTAATAAGAACAAGAGATTAAATAATTCACTTTGCAAAGTTCATCTACAATTTTAATCCAGGAATAATAAAAGCATAGGACGCCTTTGATAAATTTATAAAGATAATGGCTTTCATTTTTGACAATGAAAGTTGACTAACAAATTTCGTTAATTTAGCGCCATACTTCTATTGTTCGTGGTATGAAATCGTAGATTAATTTTCTAATGAGAATTATTTATTCTTTTGTTCTTAATAAACTCTAATAATTTATTATGTATAATAAAAAATAAACTATAATAATATAATAACAATGCTTTGCGATAATATAATAATAATGCAATAAAATAAAATAATGTCTTGCAGTGTTTCTGCATTTAATTCATTAATTATTTTATGAGTTTTAAATGAAAGCTTATTTAAAAAAGCTTTTTTTATTTTTTTTAGATTGTCTGCTTTATACTCTCAATTACACTTTATCAATTAAATCCTTTCAATTGGAAAATTCGTTTTCAATAATAAATAATCACTACTTTACTTTCAGCAATTCTGTTATTTGCAACCTTACGATAAAAACTATTGTTTTTAACTTTACATTAAAATGTTTATCTATTATCTGCCATGCAAAATTTCTATATTTGATTGTAGACTGTTTTGAACAGTTACTCGCAGTCTCTCCATTTCTACTATCAAAATGAGAAAAAATTCAAAGTGGTTTATATGATTACTAAAGGGAGGTATTGCCATCATGGATGGCTTTCTAACTTCGCAACTACTTCCCACGAATTACGTAACGCTCAAGAAAGAAATTTCTCCTTACACCTTATGCAGCAGTCACTCAAGTTACACTACAGCATTTAAAAAAATTACCTCATCATCTCATCATTGCTCTTTTAAAAGAAGGCAAGAGTTCATCTTCTAATCTACGAAAATTTCAAAACTTTATAACAAATACATTTTTAGATGTTGAAATTTAAATAAATAAATAAATAAAACAGATGTGAAGTAATCTAACAAATATAGCGAATTAGCGACAAAAATTGGCCAGAAAATCAGAAATTAGTTAAAAATTTCGCATAAAATTCACTCAAAAAATTTTTTTTTCGCTTTATCTAATGACGCAAACGGTCAAATTTTGACATTTTTAGTTTGCTCTTTAGACAAAGCTATAAGCGAAAAATCACTCAACATATAATTTTTAAAAAGCTAGATAACGAAGTATGCAAATTTCAGTTCACCGGACTTTGTGTATCCACAAAGAATGTGTGTGTAAAATTTGAGCTGGATAGATTACCAAAAACGAGACGAGAAATCGAAGAGAAATGTTTGACCATAACAACAAACACCATCATAAGTGTGCTAAATAAAAGCCTTCAAAAAGAATAAATATGCACTAAAAGCAACAACAATTAATGTCCATATAATTTGACCGGTGAACATTAATGACAAATTTAGAATGAAAATATTTCTAGCATTCAGTCATTTTATTTAAAGTTTTAGCAAATGTAGTGAATTCTTCTTACACAATTTTTACCATGAAGTTTTGAAATGCTTTTCAGCTCCGTATATTTTGCGATAATGACATGCTCAGCGTAGTCTGATTTCAGAAACAAAGCACTGATGACAATTTTTTTTGTTTTTACTGTTCTGTGATTCTGCACTGAATAGTTCTCCAACAGATTGTAGCTTTTTTCAACTTAATAACTAAAAAAAATCTAAATATGCCCACATACATATCAGGACCTGAAGACGTACCTGAGACCTGAATATATACCTGAAGACGTTAATGATGGGGAGCTGTTGTTTCAGTCCATATGATTTTAGTAAGTTGGTACTTATAATAAATTGCATTACGTATGGCATATATTTTGAATTTACTCACCCAGCCAAATAATCCTGTGCAGCTTCAAGCGCCTTATAATGCTTGTCGAACATATAAGGACTAAATTCAGTTTTAAAAACAGCTTGATGTATGTCATGAGCAGCTTTAACGAGAGCATCTACCTCCTTATTTTCTTCTGTAGAAAGGCAGCCCAGGCGTCTGTTCAAGGCTATCATTCCAATACCTAACAAACATAAACTAGGTATAATAACTTGTGTAATAATGTAATACCTCATTATGGATATTTACGAAATAAAATTTTACAGATATTTGTTAAGGAAGCCTTTAGATTCGTGCAACGTATTAAAAATTTCTTGTTTTATGTCTCTCTTTACCAAAGCTCTCTAATCCTAAGTATTTTACTAAGAAGAGTACCCGATTTACAAATTAAAGGCCTAGGGCAAAATCCCTTTTCCTCTAATTCTTTACAAAGTAACACATATCACTGATGTCGAATTGCACAGCATACTTTATGAAAAAAACCAAGTAATTTACTATTTTCCCATACTAGGATATTTAAGTAATAGAAAATAATTTCGCCTTTCTGTAGCCTCTGTTTTCATGGTTTCAGTTCATTAAGTGTTTTATAGGAAACCAGCAAGAGATATGCTATCTTTGTTGACTCCAGGATACAGTTAAGACATTCTTTGAAAACGGATAACATATTACTTTATAAACAAACCTCATATATTGTGGAATTATTGAAAATGACCTGGCGGATTGGCTTGGCCAATGTTAGTTTTAGCTTACTTCAACCCCATTTTCTTGTTGATTTTTCTACTGCCAATAGATTTGTCTCCCCGATCGATATTGTGGTTATTGCTCCTGGCTGCTATATCGTTGAACTTGCATTCGAATTCCGGAGCAGACATAGATGTTTGTATATGTGTAGCGCCTATGCGGCATGAAACAAAGCACACAGTGAGACGAACGTCATCGCGAGTGGTCTGGTAGTAGGGGAAAGAGACCGGAACCCCTCGGACAGTCTCCAAGGATATTCTTCATCAGAACTGGACGCAGCCTTAACAGCTAGCTCATGTGACAGGACTACATCTCCATCCTTCGAGAACCCACTCTCAACGAAAAAGATTTTATTCGCACTCTTCGCGGTGACGTCATGAGACAGCTTTCTTTCTCCAATTTATTGCTGATGCTACTTATTAAATCAAGCACCAATCTATTCGGGTAAAACCTTTCTGTAGAACTGGCCGGGTAGTACTGAGATTCCTTATCAAAAACTGCGGTTTAACCTTTCTAAACCTATTAAGTATACCAAAGTTTCGTTCCGAACTTGCCATGACCATTTTCAAAAACAACTCCATCGTATGAGAATGATAAATTCAACAACGTGTTCCTTACGTTGCCTAGCTCACACGACTTGCGATCACCTCTATAACTGCTCCGATCCTCACAAACACTGCCGGTAGTCTTCAGATCAGAAGATCTTAACATTTTACTTGTTTTTGGACTTTTATGGGCTACCCGCAAAGGCTGGAAAACCGAAGTCTGACGTAGGTTTTAAAATAAAGTTTTATTAAGTATTATATAAAACATAAACTTGTACATTTTAAATGCGAATTTCTTTTTTCTGGTGATTAAGGAGAAATTTCAAGAATTCTTATAGGTTTTATCATAAGCCTTAATTAATTAAATTGAATAATAATGTAATTGAATTGTGTATCAATTTAATAATGAAATATAGATAAGTGCCAGGCCTACAACAATCAAAAGACCCTAAATTCGCGTGACCTTTACGAATACAGGCACCCCTAAATAATATTTGTTGCTAATGCGAATGCAAGACAATGATCGACGGTGTCATTTTTGAAGAAAGACCATAAAAACTCAAAATACGACATTAAAAAATTTGCTCTTGCTTCTACTTTTATGTTTTTAAAAGTATAATTTCTAGTCTGCGTATTTTTATCCTTAGAAATATTTTTTTTATTTTACATATTTTAAATATTATAGAAAAACTGGAAGGTCTCTTGAAGTGGATGTCAGGGGAAAATTTGCCTTGAGTAAATCAAGCCCTGATAAGAAAAAGCTAAGTCAAGATTCCAGTATAGATATTATTCAAATGTTAGCCTTTTACTAAGAAAAAGAGAATTATTTTTTAAATACGGGAATACTAATAAAATATATAAATTTGGCATATTCAAAGTATGTTTATCACCAACGTAATAAAATGCAGTTATTTCTAACACATTTTTTTCCTGCAATGTTTTCTTTCGAGAATGTTAATTTGCGATTTTCTTTTTCAGAACTCAATGGCTCCGTGCTTTTATTATGTTTGAACTGGAAAGAGCACTGTGCAAATCAGTATTAATTAAAATGTTTTAATAGGTCTGATTACGTTAAAGCAACTCTATGTATAAGGTATTTCTCCCGCCTTCCTAGCGTGCCTTCGTGGTGTAGTGGTTCTGCACGCTGGGCCGGTATTTCAGAGGTCCGTGGTTCCATTCCCGACGAAGGCGATGGCTAATTTTTCATTTCTCCTGCTTCCAAATAAATCCTAATGTCCCTACAGTGGCGCCCGAACTAAAAGGGTCGTAACTGATGAATCTCCACACCCAGGATTTGGCGATTGGGGCCCCTAAAAACCACAGTCACCCTTTAAAAGGGGGAGTATATAAGGTATTTCTCCTGCCTTCCTAGCGTGCCTTCGTGGTGTAGTGGTTCTTCACGCTGGGCGGTATCCAGAGGTCCGTGGTTTGATTCCCGGCGAAGGCGATTGCTAATTTTTCATCTCTCCGGCTTCCAAAAAAAATCCTAGTGTCTCTACAAACTTAATGTTTACATTTTTACGACCATTTAAATGCCAACTTCCGGCATCCAAAAATTCACTTCCGGTTTATTATTTATACTATAACTTTGCTTCTAATTACCGTTAAAAAAAAAAAAAAAAAAAAAAAAATTCTGGAAATTTAAATATGTGGCCTATAAAATGAATAAATAAAAAAAAAATCGAAAATTTTCACCAAAACGACTAATTTAGGGTAGGCACCTAAAGCACTTATCTAGGTATTTGAAGATCTAGAGCTGGAGTCCCTTGTAAGTCGGATGTTAAGAAGTTCCTTGATGCAGTTCCTGGTCTACCACAGTCGAAACGGAATAAAAACGAAAGTGAATAAAAATTATACTACGTGAGAGATTTGACAATCAGATTTAAAACAATCTTCAATTAAGAACATATATCATAAAAACATGAAAGATTTTTCGAATATTGCACTGTTTGTAACCTGCGTACAACATCAGAGCTTATACAGCAACATCAGCTTACATACGAGCTGACATATGAGCCTTACGAAAACTTAAACAGCATTTACTAGCCATTTTTTACTCTTTTCTCCTCAACTGGAATTGCGCAGTTTAAAGTGGGATGTTTCAAAGTTTCAAACATAATTTGAATGAAAACCTGAAATTTTCAAACCAGCATGAAATTGTGTCGTTGACATCACATCTCAATCAAAAAGTCCACAAAGCGGTAGGTAAAACAGAAAACATTAAATGAAAAATCTGAGCCCTCTCATGGGCAGCAACATCAAACTGTAACAGCTGTAACTATTTAAATGAAACTCAGGTTAAAATCATAAATAATAACGACGTGAAAATTGAAATAATTTGACACACTTGTTAGGATTAATGCTAAAACACAAAAAAAAAATATGATCTTTAAAAAAAACTATTTCAAGTGTTGATTAATAAAATGAAACCTTATTTCAAACATAAATGGAAACAGTAAAAGACGTATTTCCATATAAAATTTGATAAAAATTCTAATTGCATTTATCACAGGCAGAATATAGAAATAAATGAACTTTTTATTCTTACATTCTAGAGCCCATTTGAACAACCACGGCTGCAGATCCACTTCATGATTTTCATCAAGAAAAGATGGTATTTTAGCTACAAGATCATCAGTTATAGCTTCTAGTCCACTAGAACAAGCATCCGCGGAGGCGGGATTCAGTAATGTCTTCTGGAAAAGACGGCGAAAACGTAACCATTCGTCGCCATTGCTGAAATGAATTGTATCTAATGAGAGAGAGAAAAAGGAAATGTGATAGAATAGCGATTTTCAATGACTGCCACAGTCAAAAATCTAAATCTAAAAATTTTTTTTATCTTAAATATATTGAATAATGTATAGCATCTAAAGGTCTTTACTAACTAGAACTCCTTGTTCTTCATTCTAATGTCTGACATTTAGAAGTTAACTCTAAGATTTGGTGAGTTATTACTATCTTAATGCTTACTATTAAACACAAGATACATCCAGAAGGTAAAATCAAATCCAAAATATTATTTTGCACTATTTGTGTCAATACAAATAAAAATAGTAACAAAACAAATATTTCGATATCTCCATCGACTGGCATATATCCTAACTCGCTGCCTAACTCCAATATCTGACTGAGTAACAGTTCCAACAAAGTTACAATGGAACTTCAACACTGAAAGTTACAAAACCTTTCTGAAGTTACTGCTATGTTGGACAAATTGTACCAAGCAGCTTTCTTCACTTACCGAACGTAGCTATTGTCGGTCGTTCAAACTATCTCATCGGCGTCTCTTTACAGCAGATAGTAGTACAGCGGTGAGATTTCTACTCAGAATACCGGTTAAGATTATAACCTAATTAACCTAGCCGCTTGCATAAACCTCTGGTCTCAGCGTGTACGTGAGTAAGCAAGCTATAATGGAAATAAATTAACCTAAAGCCAACTGTTAATCAAATTTAAATAATAAATATCACAAATAAGTTATCATAATTTTAAAATCACCACGTTTATATGATTAAACCAAACTAATTATTTTACTTTTTATTATGTATCTGTAAATTACCTTACAGAATTAGTAAGGTAATTTACAGATACATAATAAAAAGTAAAATAATTACTTTTGATATAAAAAAATCTTTACTACTGTATTATCAGTGAAAAATTAAAGTATGAATAGCACTTGAAAAGAAAAACCTAAAAATTTTATTATTATTTTCTTTTTACGGCTTTCTGTAAATTTACGGCTTTCTGTAAATTTTCAAAACTTTATAACAATTTTTTCAATTCATCTTGTATTTACTTATCTTTTTAGTTTAGACAGTTATATTCTACGTTAGTAATTGTTTGAAAAATTACGTTTATAATAAATTATTTTTATCTTTTTCTCTCTTTTTCGTTAAATGTTGGTGAATTTATCTTTCAATATGTAGAAATGTGATTTCTTAATTAAAAAACGTATACTACACATCCCCGAAAATGATGTATATTTCCATACTTTAAGCAAATTATTTACTGCTGAAGTTTCAGGATTCCTTATTTGAAAGTAAGAATTTCTAAATCGTCATCTTAAAACACCTATATCTGAGTATAATACTTACCTTGGGAAAAGTCCTGGTCCACTGTACAGATGTGGCCTTTCTTCTCTGTACTTTGCTAATGCTCTGTGGCTTATCCTAATAGGCTTCGGGCCTTCATTGCTGTACACAATTTGCATGTCTCTGGGATCAAATACATGAAGTAACGTTCGATCGCTGTGGACCTTCTCTCTGACTAGTGGCCCATATTGTTCATGCATCTTTGCATAGGTCCGATGCATTTTTTCTGAAGTATATTCACCTGATTCCGAAAGAAAGCAAATATTTTTTAAAACAAGCATTCCATGTGTCGATGATAAGAAGGTAATTTTTTTTTTACTTGATGGAGGCATTTTAATGCCTAACAGACCAGAAAACGTTTCGCGCAAACAGTGTGCTAGTGGAAACTATAAGGTTTACTCTTCTTGAGCACGATCAGCCAGCGTGGTGACGTAGATATCCTGCTTTAAAAAAGTTTCTCCAACTTCTGTGACGTCACTGTCTCAAGCGTCAGAAAGAGAAAGGTTTGACCTTAAAAAAGCATAATGTCTACTGACCTTGGAAGAAGCGTACCAAAAGCGCTTTCCAGGGAAGTGTTGCCACTAATCATTTCCTTGGGGAGACGATTACTGGCATTCGATAGAACATTTGAATTTGGCATTTGTTAGGGAGAATCGAAAGCCAAATTCGTGACATTTTCAACTGTTCCTCGTGGATTTTCTGTTCTCATTTCTTCAACAGAAAAAATTCCTGAGCTTTAAAAATGGAAAGTGGCTCCAGTACGGTGTTGCGCGAATGGCTTCCTAGTCTGTTAAGCCTTTTTTTTTTTATTTAAATAAGATGAACTGACTGACTAGTTAATTTGCTTTAGTTTCCTTTTTCTCTTAATTCGGTAAAAAGAACTCTGCGCATAAGGAATATGCTAGAATCCCAGACATTTAAAAAAAATTGCTTTGCATAATTATACATTAAAAGAAAGTTGGTAAATTACTTACATATAAAAATACATGAGGGCTCTCTGGCTGCCTTCGTAATGATTTTTTCAACAGAGACCGTCCGTATTTAGTATTTAAAAGTGGGGAAAGAATCACGAAAACCCATGCAGCCGGTCCCATCAGCTGCAGAATTAACTGACACCAACTATCTGTAATCGTGTCTTAGGTACTCAGCCAAAGCATATCATAGGAATTTTAATCATTGTAATGTGTTTACACATTTATATGAATATTCATTTCTACTGATTTGATTTTTTTCTGGACAATCATGACACAAGCCTGTAAGCTCATAAATATCATTTTAAGGTTTTATCTTTTTTTTTTTTTTTTTTTTTTTTTTTTTTTTTTTTGCCTGGCCTGTTTTTTATCGGATATTATTCTACATATTTGTATTTGGTATCACTATAATATTCCGAATTTCACCGGTATTATCTTTTACTGGAAAATATTCCATGGGATTTACAGTAATATGGTTTTATGGAGGGATTACTTATATATACATAATGTTTTTATGGATATTTTGTTAACTGGTACTAAAACAAATTCTACTGATTTTTTCTGATGATTTTACAGGGATGTGGAAGTAGACGTAGAAATTTATCAGTTTCGTTATTTTTTTAGATATGGGTTCCTGTAAAATTCTAGTGCATTTTTACCGACTGAGTTTTACGCCGTTTTGACCTAGGGTACCCGTAGAGTTCTGTAGGTTTTTATTTACTTATTCCTGCGGAAATCCGGCTTACAGGTACTTGTAAAAGAGTATTGTTTTTGTCTACTGATTTTCACGGCGTTTGATGTATTTAATTATGGCAAAGCATCCAAGGACTATCTGCCTTAGAGACGGTATGTCTTCGCGGAGAACTTTCTACGGGAAACTGGCTTCTGTCTACGTTACACATGGGGAAAACACCCAAGCCAAAGAATCTCTTAGAGATTCTTTGACCCAAGCAACCAACCTATTCGCCTGAAATCGAACTACAATTGTTCAGACATTTTACCGCTCTGCAGCTGATTGGGAACAGATTTACGGGTACCCGTAGAGTTCTATTGCTTTTTATTTACTGAAATTTAAACGGATTTGGCCTATGGACACAAGTCTATTTTTTCTCCTATGAATATTCGTAAACTAACTTTACACACAATTTTTTATTGATCTATAAATTTCAATTTACAACTCGTATATTATCTTTTAAGTAACTTTATTTATTACATATTTAGATAAAGTTTATATATATATATATATATATATATATATATATACATAAAGATAAAGTTGATATACTTAGATAAATTTGATGTAATTAATATAAAGTTTCCTCTGTATTTAATATACCATGAAACATTTAGTATCCGTCTGTGTCTTAGAGAGAAATAATTTAAAACAAAATGAGAATTATTATCAGTGAAGTTTACCTATGATCGGGAAATAACGCCATAAATTTCCTATTAGCGGCAAAGGTTTTGGCCCAGGGATGGAATCGAAGCTTTTAGTTTCCAGCTCCGCAACCAGCTTTTTTTCAGCTACGGTACAAAAAGATTTCAGACTCTTTTTGCATGCTCTCCTATACATCTGAAACACAGGAAATCAGCTTACTCTTTCAAACTACTTATATGATAGAATATCAAGCTTTCCTTATATAGCATTGGTACTGAAAAGAAAATAATTGAAATTATAAAACAAATACTTTTAACAAAACACAACGAGGTCCTATTTATCTTTTTTTTTTTTTTTTTTTTTTTTTTTTATCTTTTTTTTGTTTTTTTTTTTTTTTTTTTTTTTTTTTTTTTTTTTTTTTTTTTTTTTTTTTTTTTTTTCAGCATACATCTGTATATCACTTTGATGGTGCCAAGAATGCATTTACGCATTAATTATCAAAAATTACCGTCATCTCTCCCGATTAATCAGAGTAAACATCAAGGATAACATCCGTGGTTATTACAAGAACAGTTAAAATAACACAAGAAAGTATTAATACTATAATTAATATAAAATACTATAAATAATCTCCCTGTTTAATTGGTTACATACCGTGTTTACTTGCGTAATAGTCGCACCTCCGTTTGGAAAAAGAAAAAATCGTCAAAAGTGTGCAATAGTGTACGGTAGATTTCCCCACATAATTGTCGTATTTAGACATTCCCAATGCAAAATTCGCAAAAAAAAAAAAAAAAAAAAAAAAAAAAAAAAAAACGTGCGACTATTATGCGAGTAAATATGGTAAATGAAATTGGTATTCGAAACGTAAATAATACGATAAAAATTCGGATCACAAGTGCCTTACTTTAGGAATAATTTGATTCACGAACAAATTTTCTCAGCAAAAACCACCTCAGATTATGAACAGTGTCTTGAATAGCAAACTCTCAGGTCAGCAACATGTGGTTTTCGAGATAACCAAAGCTATTTAATTAACATTCAAGGAGATGATGTTAATTTCGGAAATATCACTTTAATGTTTTCCATTGCTTAATTCTAATTATCAAAAACCTGGTAACAAGTGACTCACAGAAGTAGTCTCATACTGACTGCGGGCCGAACACACGACCTGAAAGCAGTTATATATATATATATAAGATATAAAATATTGAAGAACACTGCAAACAAAATTACTAAGTTTAAGAAGTCCTTTTAATTCCTCGTTTTAATTTGGTTACGTCCACTTTCTGTCTTAAAAATGCTAAGATATGAATCTAAAGTACGTCATCTGAAAATTAATACATTCCATGTCTCTTATGTAATGAAGCTGCAGTGCAACAGCTCTCAGCCTATCAGATTAAAGAAATAATTTATTATATATCTGGCACTTTCCCTGTTGCATACCCTTTTTTCCTACTTCGGTTGCTGCTGCTTCGACGTTTAGCTCAGCCTCTGCTAGCCGTTCTCCATAATAAGTCTGTGTAAAATCGTGGGGTGCATAGTGCACTCATAATTATTATGTGTAATGACAACGAATATTTGTCCTAAGAATAAGTTATCAAGGAATAAAATTATACGTTGAATTTACGGTCACGTCTGTCTTCAAGTGTCTTGCTTCTAACTACGCAGTAAAGCCTCTTCAAGTTATTGTAATGCAAATAGCCATCGCCATTCCAATGTAGCTGTTTCCGAATCATCGCATTATATGTGTGATAAAAACAAAGTCAGAAGTGAATGACCAGCAGGAATTTTGATGGCGTAGAAGAGTTGATCTATAATGAATAGGAAATTGGAGGCGAAGGCAGATTTAATCTTCATTTTTTATTTCGGTAGATACGTTGCAGCCACAATCAAGCTGGCACATTAATTGTGCCTATTTAAAAAAACTTACATTTTAGATAAATTTGCAGTAAGATAGAAAGAGCAGACAGACAGCAGTTTAGCTAGCCCAAAGCGTTGAAAGCAAGTGCGTTATGTTCAGGGAGAAATCTTTAATTCAGACTGAGTTAGTTTACGTTCTCAATGCATTTGATTGGATAGTTAATACTTCTGTAAAATTGTTATTGGCCGCTTGAGTTCCATATACATCATCATATAACATAAGAATCATATGACATGGATCAGTCTCGCAGTGAAATAGAAGTTACTATTTTTAGAACAGAGAAGGAAAATTAATTTACGCTGCTAATTTCATTTTTTACATAGTATATATAATAGAATAAATATATATGTACATATAATAGAATAAAAGTTAAAAATTAGAAGAAAAATTATTATCCCGAAAAATTTTTTAAAAAAATTCAAAAAGAACCTGAAAATGACTTTATTTGAAAACCATGACAAACTATTAAATTTTAGATCAAAGCATGATAAAAAAACAAAAGTTTAAAAAAAATTATACACTTTTTTAGAAAAATTGAAATTTAAACTAATTAAGAAAACATTTAAACGTATGTAATGTAATCATTCAAATTTCAGCTCCTCAAATCGACTTATCTAGGGGTAATAATTTGAAACAGCGAAACCCGAACAATTAAGGAGCTCTCAACTTACGATTCGTTCCACTTGATTCTTTGAGCAAAAGTTTTTTAAATAAATAAATAAATACTATATAAATTTCTATAATACAATAATTACACCCAAACTCAAAGAGACAAGTGATTACCCCGACGCAAACTGAGTACCCGAAAAAATATTAATTAAATTGTAAAACTAAAATTTCGAAATTACATATATATATTAATAGAAAAAAAGAAACTTAATTTAATATTTACATACAAGCAATAATCAAAAGTTATGCACAGTCTAAATCATAGGTGTTGGTATAATTCAAATCTAATAAAAAGTACAAATAAACAAGTTTTACACGACGTTAACTTAGTTTATCTCAATTTATAAAAAATATGAACTACGCAGCTATACATACAGTTAACCAACTAATGACAGGCTGATGATGGAGGCCGGGGACCCCTGATGTCTAGCATAGGTAAACAGGTGTGTGTCCGACGCCCTCTCCTATTCAAAGCAATACCTCCCAGGGGCAACAAAAATACCGTATCGGCAGTTTTGTATGTGTAACTTACTTGCTGCATAGCTAATGGTTTTTACATTGGTTACAACAGTACAGAGAGGAATCTTTGGTTTGCTAACAGAATTATAGAATACAACATTTAGACATATACCATAAAACTAAATATAACATGCAATGTATGCCTACAACATAAACTTACAATTTATGCATACACATAACGTGCAATATATAATGAATATAAACATACAACATAAAAGTATACATGTAAAGAAATGTAATAAATAAACATAAAGAAATAGACTGCTGCGTTGTCATGACTGCATTATTGTTCTATATTGTGACAGACTCATAGAAAGCATATATAAGAAGAACCAACTCAATAGAGTGTGCTGGAAACACCAGAATACTGAAATGGCACCAAGCACCAACTGTTGGCTGGCGAACTACATTCACTGACTATACCCACGCGGGAAGCTGAACCCCCATCCGAACCCAGTCACGTGGCCTAACCACACAAGCATACGGTGACAAATTCCCAACTTAATCCTCCCTCGCTTTTTACTTCAAACAGAAGTCGAGCACATAAGCCTAGTCTATGTATCTATGGCTCACGGCTCACATCGTATTTAAAACAAATGTGTAATTTAAATGTAATCCAGAGCCGTGTGACATTTTCTCGGGGCCCACGGGCCACTAGTTTGAGGTCACTGATAAATACCCACAAATTCATTCTGGAGGGTATCATGGCCATACTGGGATGCATGTAGAGATTTTGAGCTCTGTAACTCTTAAGAATTTTTTTAATCTATGATAGTAAGTTTCTAGGCAAACTCATGGCCCTAAGAAGTTAACAATAGAGACATAGGAAGTTCCTAGAGAACCATACAAATGAGCTCAACATGAATGAACAACAATGATTTCAGAAGAAGTAAAAAGCAATTGTGGAAGAAATGTTTTTTCAGAGAAAAAAAAGGAAGGGAAAAAAGTAATCCAAATCCTCTAATCCGCGAAATTTGGGCAAAAAGGATGTAACGTTTTCCCAAAACCATACCATCCTGATAAAGCAGAAACAAGCTATAACGTTAGAAATTTGAACGATAATGCCTAACTTCAGAGACATTTTAAAGTGTAGGTAACAAGAAATCACGGTAGACAAATTTTAAACCGAACGGAAGCTGAATAACTCTCAGCGTCAAATAGTGGTAGAATACAAAGAAAGATAAAAAAATGGATGCCAACCAAACATCCTGATGTTTTTATGGAAGTACAAAACTATAAAATTTGCTTCATCACTTTCCACTTATGCTCTCTCCTCTCCTTCGTATAAGTACAGCAAAATTAAAGTAAATTTTGATTTGTTTTATCCGTTTAATACTGCGTTTATATTTTTACTTCCTTGTACGAAGTAAAGGAAGTATTGTTTTCGCGAAAAATTTCGGGTATCATATTTCAACGGAAATATCAACTTTTACCGTTCTTGAACTCAATTGGACAACTTTTTTGCGTGCCGTCTGTGTGAGCGGACACAGACGGTGGACTGTGTGCGGACTTTCTTTCTCCGGGGTTTGACTCAGGCGAACGCCTGGGAAGTACTGGTTAAGATCTGTACCTGGGCAGTCTCAGCCACGGTTCACAGAAGGCCTGAGGGCTCTCGGGACAAATTAAGGCTCGGCAGGGACCGTACGGGTACTGCTTCGTCTGCCCTTGCTCTGTGGGGTCGCAACATGGTAGACTGTTAAGTTCGGCGGGGCGGCTCTTAATTCCGTTTGGCAACAGCCTCAGATCGGAAGCGGCCCCATCCGCTAGCGGTGTGTGTGCGGACAAAATAAAGGACTCTTTGTTCCTAAACGGTTGTAAAATGGATTTAAAAAATGGATGCAGACCGGGTTTCAGACGTATGGAACATACGTACGTACGTATATATTTCGCAAAACTCAAAAACAATTAGTCGTAGCAAGCTGAAAGTTTGTATATGAGACTGCTATAAAATGTAATTGTGCGTCGCCTTTTTTTGTTGCAATCGGTCGCACCAGAAATGTATACGTATATATATATATATATATATATATATACGTATACGTTTCTGGTGCGACTGTGGGATATATATCCACACCCACTCTCT